CGACCATCTGTCCCAAGGAGGTGTCGGATTTATCGTCCACAAGTCTCTCGTTAACAACGTTGTAAAGATCGGGAGTGTGTCGACGAGGGTTGCGTACCTTATACTCAGAATCACCAAACGGTATTCGCTGAAGGTCATACAGGTTTACGCACCAACCTCGGCACACCCCGATGGGGAGGTGGAGGAAATGTATGAGGATATCTCTAGAGCCATGCATTCCTCCAAAACCCAATATACGGTGTTAATGGTAGACTTCAATGCAAAACTAGGCACAAGAGAGAACGGTGAGCTGAAAGTAGGGAAATTTGGAATAGGGCAACGGAACCCAAGGGGCCAGCAGCTGGCCGACTTCATGGAGAAAGAGGGACTATTTATGATGAACTCTTTCTTCCAGAAGCGGCCCCACAGGAAGTGGACCTGGTCGAGCCCCGATGGTTCGACAAAAAATGAGATTGACTTCATTATGACGACCAGACGACAACTGTTCAGTGATGTCTCCGTGATCGCGAGGGTGAAAACTGGTAGCGATCACCGAATGGTTAGAGGCACACTGAACCTAAACGTTAAGTTGGAGAGGTCTCATCTAATGAAGTCAACGCTCCGTCCCCCTCGTGCTTTGTTCCAAAGTCCTGAAACCTTTCAGCTCGAGTTACAAAACCGTTTTCAGTGCCTAGAAGACTGCAATGAAGTGGACGATATGAATGACAAGCTCGTGGAAACTGTCCATGCGGTCGGAGCTAAGTTCTGCAAGACCCGCCGCAGAAGAACACAAAAACTCTCCGATCACACTCTTAATCTCATGGCTGTTAGACGGGAGATGAAGCTACATTCTTCAACAGACTTGACAGCATACAGGCATCTGAACAGACAGATCTCCAAATGCATGCGGCGGGACTTACGCAACTTCAATACAGCTCGTATTGAAGAAGCGATCGAGCGGAACCAAGGCTCCAAAGTCTTTGCCAGAGATCTGTCTGCCAGAAAGAGCCACCTGTCAAAGCTGAAGACAGAATGTGGCAGCATCGTTTCCGGGACACCTGAGATTTTGAGTGAGATTGAGAGGTTCTATGGGCAGCTGTACACGTCATCGTTGGAGCCACACGCAAGTGTGAGTAACGATCCAAGAGCGAGTCTCATCCGACAGTATTCCGAAGATATCCCGGACGTCAGTCTGAGCGAGATTAGAATGGCTCTCCAGCACCTTAAAAACGGTAAGGCCCCAGGCGAGGATGGAATTACAGCGGAGCTTCTGAAAGCGGGTGGAAGACCGGTACTTGAAGTCCTTCAGAAGCTCTTTAATTCCGTCCTCCATGGTGGCATTACACCGGAGGCGTGGAGCAGAAGTGCGGTGGTCTTGTTCTTCAAGAAAGGTGACAACGCTCTCTTGAAGAACTACAGACCGATTTCCCTTCTGAGCCGCGTCTACGTGCTGTTTTCGAGAGTCATTACGAATCGTCTCGCGCGCAGACTTGACGACTTCCAGCCTCCCGAACAAGCCGGTTTCCGAAAGGGCTTTAGCACCATAGACCACATACATACCCTTCGGCAAATTGTACAGAAGTCCGAAGAGTACAATTTGCCACTATGTCTGACGTATGTGGACTATGAGAAAGCCTTTGATTCCGTCGAAATTTGGGCGGTGCTGCAGTCCCTTCAGCGGTGCCAAGTTGACTGTCGGTATATCGAAGTGTTGAAGTGCTTGTACAGTAGGGCTACGATGGCTATCCGAGTACAGAACCAGAGTACGAAACCTATCCAATTGCAGAGAGGTGTAAGACAGGGTGACGTCATATCCCCGAAACTCTTCACCGCTGCATTGGAAGACGTTTTCAAGCTTCTGGACTGGAAAGGATACGGTATCAACATCAATGGCGAGTACATCACTCACCTTCGATTTGCCGACGATATAGTCCTTATGGCAGAATCGCTGGAGGACCTAAGCACTATATACTTGTGAAGGGCTGTAATGATGATGATGATGATGTACGAACAAGAGTGGACTGGGACTAAATTCTGCTTACTGAATGCTGGCTATCATCCATTCACTGCATATCTCCTTTGGATGAATACAGTAACTTTGCATCTACTAACAATTTTATTCAAAATGAGGGTGTCGTTGTCTATTACAAAAAAGGTTTGGTTATCTCAGTTGACGAACCTATAATATCAGACGCCAATTGTTTTATAATTACTCTAAATAAAGATACGGTAGCTATTGCTGTTTATCGACCTCCTGGATATAAAAATATTAATAATTTTATTCAATCCCTTAACAGTATATTACTAAAATATTCAACTAAACAAAATGTCATATTATTAGGTGATATAATATTAACATAGCTAAACAAAGTACAGATTCAAATCTTTCTATATACTTAGATACTCGTATGCTGCTATTTCACTGAATGTTACCTGCGTACATATTTCCGACGCATAATAAAACATGCTTGGATCATGTAATGCTAAAGACAAAATTGCATAGCTCGTTGTCTCATCCTCCAAACATCTCTAACTGACCATTATAGTGTTGTCTTATACATTGCTTTATTTTTCTAAGCAAAAACCTGCAAAATTATTTAAAAACGTAGATTTTGAATTTTTAAACGCAGGACTAAAAAATAAGGATTTCAGTTCTTTCTACAAGATCAAAAATGTAAATGAAGCTGCTGTTTTTTTTTCCCACAACATATTTCAGTCGGCTTTAAGAAGAGAATTAAAAATTTCCAGACGTAAGAAAATCTTAAAACCCTGGATAACCTTAGGTGTCCTTAAATGTTTAAAAAACCGTGATAACCTATATAAGAAACTAAAAAAATGACCCAAACAATGAGACGCTCAAGACTGTTTATAAAAGATACAGAAGCTATTGCTCATCTCTGATGAGGAAACTAAAAAAAAAATATGGAAAAATTCAACTTCAAAATGCAGGAAAGGACAACAAAAACTTTGGAAAGCTGTTAAAGAGATCATCTATACAAATAAACCTAAAGAGATTCCATTAGAGCTGATAGCTACAAACAATCCGCAAGCATCGTTGAATAGTGTTAACCATTATTTTGCAAATGTAGGCAGAACTTTATCTGAAAACCTGTGTAAAAATAAGCCCCCAATTCAACTCTCTGCTTTAAAGTCATGCTGTCATTCTTTTACTCTTTTATCTATGGATAAGGATGAAGTAAGGAATCTAATAACAGGTTTAGAGAGTAATTGCTCGGTTCGCCTGGATTTAATTTCTAATGAAATTCTTAAGGCTAACAGAGATGTTGTAGTGTCTCCGATAAAGTACATTTGCAATTTATCACTTTCACTTGGAGTGTTCCCGCGGATATACAAGGAATCGCGAATCCACCCGATTCATAAAAGTGGAGACAGGGGCTGTAACTATAGACCGATTTCTATTCGTCCCACTATCTCAAAAATTTTAGAACGCATTATAAATAATAGATTAGTAAAATACTTGGAAAGTAAAAATCTCTTGTCACATAAACTATCTGGCTTTAGAGCAAATAGATCTACATCAGATGTGGTTGTTGAACTAACAAAGTACATAGTTAATGATTTTGACAATAAAAGAAACAATAGGTATATTTTTGGATTTGGCAAAGGCATTTGACAGTCTTTGTCCTAAATTTAGTTAAAAAACTTGAATACCTTGGTATTAGAGACCTTCTATTGAAACTTCTACAAGATTTAAAACAGACAGAACGCAATCTGTACAAATTGATACAATAATTAGCGTAGAAGTCCCTGTAACTTTTGGAGTTCCTCAGGGAAGCATTCTGGGTCCAATTCTCTTCCTTGTTTGTATCAATGATCTTTGTCAAATGGAAATTCCTAATGCAAAAATAGTTGCCTTCGCAGATGACACGGCCATCCTTTTCAGTGGTAACTCATGGTATGAGGTTTTCTCAAATGCTCAGAGAGGAATGAATACTGTTACTAGTTGGTTATACATGAATATTCTAACTCAATATTACAAAGACTAATTACATCTCCTTTTCCATTAAGACCACTGATAAACCAGACCCTGCATATCGAATTGTTTCCCACTTGTGTGATAATCCCAATGACACAAACTGTCTATGCCCGAAGCTTGTAAACACAGAATCAACTAAATACCTAGGCGTAATGATTGACAGCAAATTAAGTTTTCACTATCACATTGACCTTCTAACGGCAAGAATACGCAAATTAACGGTAATTTTTAAGGCCTTGGCCTTGGCCCTATCTTTGCAGGGCGAAGTTTTGATTTCACACTGATCTGTGTCTTCATTTTTGATGCAGAGAATATCGTCCGTATTCATATGGAAAATAGGTTTCTGTAGCGGGCAAAGGTGAGTCGCAGCGTCGAACTGTGTACATCTTTGAACTTCTTCTGATAATGGTAAGAGATCGAATCGTAAGAGTCCTTTTGGATGTTGATCGAAATATGATCTGCAATAGGTGTGATGCGGACAATCTGTTTTTGTACTTGCTGAGGGATAGAGATAAGCCTGTAAATCTCGTAGGTATCCCTGCTTACCAACGGGATTTTGATCTTGAAAATAAAGTCTTGGCTTGTCATCCTTGCTTTTACTTCCAGTAAATGATACAATCTGGATAAGTTGTTTTGAATGTTGTTTATAGGCAGAGCTAATTCCTTTGATGATTGCCCAGAGATAATATTTAACTCTTCACTCAGCTGTCTGCTGAGTGAAGAGTTAAATATTCTGCTGCCTTTTTGGGTTTACTCCGTAGTTTCAGCAGCACGTTAAGTTGTCAAATAGTCGGCGTGCTGTATTCGCCTCATTTCTGACTGCTCTGGTGTTTCAGCTGATCTCTAAGCAGTCTGTCGCCCAGTTTTCTCAATCTTCTAAGCTCCGCTTAAGAAGAAGTCTCTCGACTTCTAGCAACTTTCATAGCTCAAGCTTTATCACTCCTCCGCGAAAGATCAGAATTGCGTTTTCCGGGCATTTCGAAAAACTACTTAATAACAACAAATCACACAAATTATAACTAACCAAGAACAATGTACTTAAACCTATGAGCACAAAGATATAACTAACCTAACTACAATTTAATTACAAAAGGACACAACTAGCCTAAAAACAATTTATTTATAGTATGTACCTGAACTAAAACAAAACAGCAAAGTAATAAATCGAAATCAAGTCCGTAACCATTGATCGAGATAAATATTTTTTTAAATCAAAGGAGCAAAACTAAGTTCGTACAAAAATTACTAGAAAGGTCATTCTTCGGAAAAAAATCTTTCTAACCCGATTTAAAAAATGCTCACCGTAAAGCGCGATCTAGAGCGTGAGAATCAAAAGTCTGAAATCTAAAGTCGAGACTTTGTTGAACACAGTCTCCTACTGCAGGCGACTAAATCTAGTCCATTTCAATCCCCAGAACAAGTTTGCGCGCTTACTACTAAAAAGGACCCCTTTGTCGTATCTCTTCAGGTTCAGAGCACTCCCCTTGTCGCATCAGCTAGTATCGCAATCCTCGGCGTGGACATATCCAGTGACGTGCAATTTCATAGTCACTTTCATAGTCACTCATCTCTGCGCCAAATTTCATCCAGATCCGTTCAGCCGTTCTGGCGTGATTGAGTAACAAACATCCATTATCTTACTTATTATAAATGCGAAACTTTGGATGAACTAGCCCGCGGGATGGTATAGGATAGTGGTGGATATTCTTACACATAAATATATAAATAAATAAGACAGCTCCTCCTAAAATTGTGTCGTAATCGCTGGAAAAATCACCATTTTTTGGGATACATTTGGGGTTATAGATTACTGCGCTTTCTTACTAATATATTATAGGGGTACCTATATTTGAGATCCGGAATATTGCTTTGGATGTGATGATGGTTGATAGATAATGTCACTTCTTAGTTAAAGAGAAATGTAATTTTGAAATGACTTCGTGTCGCTAAGTTCAAAATCATTACCGATGTTTTATTAACTGATTACTGTTTTCAGAAGCAAGATGTTTCTTACGCCCAATTTTTTTAATAATTATTTGAGAGAGCGTGGTCTTGGCAATCAAATCTACGCAGCAATGAAAAATGATGATTACTCTGATGTAGTTATGGCTGCTCTCAGTGTACTTGAGGAAAGTGGAAGTTTACCAACGATAGAAAAAGAAAACAAATGTGAGAAAAGATCTGATAAATATCGGGAAGAAGGTAATATAGCATTTAAAGTTGGGAATGTATACAGAACTCTAGAATTTTACAATAGAGCTCTGATGTATGCGCCGAAAACTTCAAGAGCCATAAAACTCGCTTATAGCAACAGGTCGGCAATTTTATTTAAAATGGAACAATTTAGTAAATGTTTAATTGACATAGAAACTTGTTGTAAACTTGGTTGCCCCACAGACATTGAAAGTAAGCTTATTAAAAGGAAAAATGAAGCTACAAAAAGAAGTAAATTAGAAAATAGTACTGCAAGTTTGCTTACTAGTTACTTTAAAGATTATTTTAAATTTGATCTTAAATCCAACACTTCTATACCTTGCGCTAGCTCTGACATAGAAGTTATAAAAGGAGATGATTTTAAAATAGTTGCAGCAAAAGATATTAAAGTAGGAACTCCTCTGGCTTTAGAAGATTCGTTTGTAAGTTGTAATAACGAAAAAAATATACCATTTTCTTGCCATTACTGCCATAAAATGTCTTTGAACCTAATACCATGTGAAGGTTGTTGCTTAGTATTGTTTTGTAGTGAAGAATGCAAAGAAATATGTTTAAAAGAGTACCATAGCATCGAATGTCAAATTATGGAGGTTATTCAAAGCATAGCTTTCAGTACTATGGCGAAATTGATGGTAAAAGGCACTTTGAAATTTGTCCAAATGTGTGGGTCATGGAAAAAAGTAATTTCATCTTCGCATTGCACTGGTGCTGACAGGATACGCATCAGTTCAGAACAGGACATGTACGATGTCAATAATAAGTTCTCGGTACTTAATTTTAATGATAATCGGCTGTTCGTGCATGGATCAATGCATTCAGCTAGTTTTGTATGTGCTACATTTATTTATTATTTAGAAAGAATATCTGGCTATTTGCCTAGTTCATTTGATGAAAGGAAACTTGCTAAGAAAGCACTGGGAAGAATCATGATGTATTTTAGCCTTTACGCTTCCCCCACACCAGTTAATCTCCGTGTATCAGATACCAAAAATAGAAAATCGTTTCTCAATCCAATTTCAAATCACGGATGGTATCCTTTAATTGGTAAATTAAAAGAATCTTGCATTCCAAATCTATTTGTTATCAATTTAAATAAAAAAATGTTGTTGATTGCGTTGAAGCCTATAAAAAAGGGATCAGAGTTAACTGTTTCTCACATGTAAGTATATTTTCTTCTTTTTTTATACTACCCGTTATTGATAGTTGTGCAACTATAATACTTTAAAGCATACGGAACGGTATTATAAAACGCCATAGGCCATTTCCTGTACTTATTTTCTTAACCGACTTCAAAAAGGAGAAGGTCCTCAACTATGTTACGCGATATCTTCGCAGATTGTGAACGAATTTTATGATTCTTTTTTTATTAAATAGATTATACTTCAAGGGCGGTCCCATATAAATATGGAGAAAAGAATTGACCCCTAAGGGTAACAAATAAATAACTTCTTTTTTAGCAATTTAAAGTCGGTTTTTACTTTTTGTTAAGTTATAATTATGTTTCATTAATTCTTAGTTGTTCTGATTGCATAAAAAATTAGTATGAAAATCACAAATCATAAGAGGCGACAGAGGGAATCTGAATTGCCAACTCGCCCGCCAAGCGTGAGATCAATGTATGAGGGAGGCCTGTGTTCAGCTGTGGATGTGTCGCGACCAATCGCCGCGCTCAGAGCTAGCGCGGGAATACGTCGGTCGTGCGACGCCCGCCGCAAGAATAATTGGCGGGCATCTGACCGCCGGAGGACATTCGCGGCGCAGAAGAGCTCCAGCCAACAAGAACAACAAGGCTAAGAAGAAAAGGAAGATACCTTACAATGCTAGTAAATTAATTAATATTACAGTGCCGCCTTTGTAAATAGTGCAGTGGATTGTTTATAGGTGCGTCCCTCTTTCAATAGAACCGTCAATAAAGTGAAATCATGTCTTCACAATATTGAAATGCACAGTGTTTTACAAATATTAATTAATACAGTCTACTTGCTCTGATGATGATGATGATGATGATGATAGTGATAATGCGTAATAATATTAATATCGGGCGGGAACCTAAATACAACTAAAAAAGTATGTTTTTATGGATGTTTGTTCATATGTCGCGGTTGAATAGCTGGATGTATAGAATTCGATTATATCGTGAAATAGTACTAAGACGCCTTTTGTAAACGTTATTATAAGGTATTACTTCAGTTAAGTCTCTGTACATAGAGCCATGTTGCAGCTGTATTATATTTGTAGTACGAAAGAGTTGGCTCGGCCAAGGAACCACGCTCTCACAGAATACCAGAGTGAAAAAGCCGCTTAATGCTGCTGTGTCTTTTTACTGGAAAAGAGGCATTTCACCTTAGTCCTCAGGGGTGACAACGCCTCTGCATTTTGTCTATTAATAGACGTAATGGGCCACAGCATCTAACATGATTAATCTTTTAATGTTGTCGCAGATCGTCTAAGCCTGAGCTGTCGTTTTATTGTGTTTTCCCATCACTACACCACCTCACCTTACTCCGAGGTTGTCGTTACAGTCATCTCATTTGTTAAGTTTCTAATTATATATCTTTTGTTTTTTCAGAGGCCATTATTTATTATATGATGAAGAACCTCATGTACGAAATTCTATATCATTCGACCTGTTCGGGAATGTTTGTAACTGCATTATATGCACTGGTGAATGGAAATCACAGAAAAAACAATTTTCGTTGACGGAAAAGCAACTTAACTTATATAAAGAAAGATTTTTGCATGAAGACGTACTTATCAACATTATGAGAATTCCCAATGTATTTAAAAAAATATGCAATGTGCTCGCTTGTCTTAGCGACGTGTCTTTCTCAGAAGAATATGTACATGTTTTCAACAATTCTTTCTTTCGATTAATATCGGCTTATCAAGAATTTGTATGCGCTAATGTAGTTTTTGATAGAATCCGCTAAATAGTTTAAATTTGATTCAATTACAGTACCGTGTAATTGCATATACGTTGTTTATTTTACTGTAACAGAATATCTATTAATTATGGTAGTTTTTAAATTAAGCCGGGAGAGAATGAGTGGCGTAATCGTGTTTCATGTTTATGCTAGGGTCACATTGTCGCGCAAAGATTCGTGTCGCGTTTTCACAATAAAACTTCGTGTTCACTCTACTACGATCCACATGCCTGATCCGATGGCCGAGATTAAAAATTTATGAAAAGAGAGAATAAAAACGGCGAGATGGTTCTGCTAGGCGCGAGATAATTGAAGACGCGGTTGCGCTGTATTATATGCCTCTTTAACACTTGAATAATTCTACTATATAAATAAAAGATTAAAAAATTAAAATAAAAGACGATGGTGAATTTCAAAAGTGTTTCGTTACTCTAGTTCATATTTTTCCTATGACAAAATCAGAATAATCCAAGACAAATGTAAAGACAAGACACTGTAAACAGAGAGCGAAGTGTAGACTGTAAACAATCGCATGAACTTAGTCGCGATAAAACTCTTCGATGTACAAAAATTTACCCCCCATGCGATCGGCATTCGAGTTTGTCTGAGTGATTCACGATATGACGAATTGCTTGTCCAGACGTGTCGCAACAAATCAAATAGTCGCCTTAACGCGCGACAATGTGGCCGCAGCATTATCGTAATAACAGGGAAAGAGGAAAAATTAATTTTAAGTTATAATGCAGATTGGAAATTTTAAAAAACACAATATTTTTTCTAATCTAAATAATTTCTTGTACACAAAACTTTTCATAACTCAAGTATTAAATCTTTCTCAATAATTATTATTAAGTTTATGGGTCATTAGCTGCAGTGATTTCTACGCTATCTAAACAATCTCATTCACTTTAATCATTTAATAATACAATTTAAGAGCATTTAATATCACCTCAATCAGTGAACTCTATACAAGTACGCTGGACTGGATAGCCAATTTATTTTGATTTTTTAAAATACGAACAAACAAACATTAATATTTCTCTGCACTTTTTCTTTTAATACTATAAGTTAAAATTTTCAATCGTAACACGAAACCTAAGACTGGCCTAATTTTATAGCCCTGTGGCTAGCTCTTCTAGACATCCTCTGACACCTCAGGACTGGGGTGTCCGAGGGTAAGTTGTGAAACGACTAACCGGGAAATGTGGGTGGGAGTCGCGCTTATGTTGAATTAATAAAAATTATCTATTTTATGCGAGAAGACAAATAAGTCGCCACCAAGTTAAAAAAAACCTTTTTCTGAATTATAAAAGGTTAATATAAGGGGAAGTTTAACTTATTTTCTTTTAAAGTGTTTTCATTCAAAAACAGAATTAAGTATAAGAACCTTTTGAGATTATCAACAATTTTCTAACATGATAGTGTTCGTGGTCGGATTACCCTTATACGTTGCTAGTGTTTTGTTTTTTGTAATAAACTGAAAAAAATTCTCTCTTCGTTTATTTAAATTTTATTTTTTAGCAGTGCTACAATGTGATTTTTATTTGGTTTAAAAAAAAAGTAATTATTTCATATTAACATTGGTCCTATTATGTAATTTAAGTTTAAATAAAAATAGAGCACTGACGAAAAGGTCCAAAGAAAAAAGTAGATAAGTTTTACCTTACACTAATAATAATACAAAGATGTATTTTAAATTGTCAACACAACGAAACACAATGAAAACTGTTAAACATTCGTTTCTGTATAATTATGTGTTAAGTACTGCATATTAAATTAAACGTTAATTATTTATTAACCATTAATTTTTCCAATTTGAACTTGATTGTAGGCATTATTCTTTAACTTTTATCCGAACTATTATTAATATTTAGAAACAAGTGTAACATTTTGGATTAAGTATAATGTTTTGTATTAAATAAAATAAATTTTTAAACTTCTTTTTTTTATTATTATATATATTTAAGTTTTACGTGGTTGAGTCCTTCTGAAGCTATGCACGAATGTGTCGGCTAATCCAAAATAAATATTTACAAGTACCAAAAATGAAGATAGTTTCATTAAGTGACAAGAATCGCAAGTATTTTTGCGAACTTTTGTGGGAGGAGGGGGGCGTGTGAGTGCGTGCGTGAGAGCGTGTGCGTGTGTGCGCGCGTGCGCTTGCGCGCGCGTGTGTATGTGTGTGTGATTAAACCGCTTGTTAATTTCAATTTAAGGAATGTTACTGCTACGGCCTACGGCTGCTCCCTTAAAGGATCCAATCTTCAGGGGCCCATGAGCTGAAGATTTCCCGAACAGACGTAGGTCGGGCCCCAATGTGGCCACGTGGAAATTCCTAATTACATTAAAATATATGGGGGAGCGTTATACTACGGCCAGTCGACCGGAAGGAATTTGGATGAAGCTTACTTACCTATCCAAGGCGACTGGTCCCTCCGGAGTCGGTCAGGTCGCATGTGGTTGTGTAGTGCAAGGGAAGGAATGGTGATGTGGTGTGTATCTGGGTGTGACTGATGGTGATTGAACCTAGACCTTGGCCGTCGGCAGCAGCCCGAGCGTCGACACCGCTCCAACTTGAGGGCGCCTTTCGAGGTAGTCCACAGTCACTTTCTTCTTTCGTCACGTTGCCAGTCAATTAACTCTATCGTACGATTTACTAACTTACAGAAGCCACTAACTATCGCTGGGTATAATGGTTACCGCACAAACGCACACGGAGTTTAAAGGGTCAAAGGTCACTACCGTTTCGCGTAGCAATAGTTAATTCTAGAATATCAGAGGCCGCACTATCTAATATTGCCGAATGCACTTATGCAGGTTTTGAGTCAGACACAATAAGTCCCGGGAAGCTCTCCAGTAGGAATGCGCGTCACAATGATAGACCGTATATTTACTGGCCGCGCCGAATTATTCCGAGTTACCTAACAGAATGGACCGCGTGCTCACGTCAGCACCGATTAAAGACGACTCACTGCCCTTGGGCGTTTTTCGCACGACCGAATGTCAAACCGGTATGACACTGAGCCGCACGCCCTCTCGCGTTCGTTCCTTGAAAGTGTTTTGCGCGAACAGTTACGGTGTTGTAAATTGTATTACATCATCAGTACATGTATGTAGGTAATCTAACTTCTGGTGGGAACGTCTCTTACGTAATTGCATGTTCATAAGCTCACCTGCGATCTTCTTACTTCAACAGCTGCGATGCGGTTATCTTCAGCACGATTGGCTGATTAATACGAATAGTTCTTGCGGTATCACACAGTCTTGCTGGCGACAGTTCTATAGGTTTTCGTTGTTGCGACACGTGCACGGCATGTTCTTTTAGCGAGCGGTAAGCGACGAGCGCAAAAACATACGACTAGCGTTGCGCAATGAAAAATGACGCGTGTGAGTGCGCCCACAGTTAGAACGCGACTACGTCGACTTCCTACTATATATTTATTGTGTCGACAGGGTGTTGCCCACAAGGTCATGACATGCAACTCCCGAGGCGAAACAGATTATTTAAGATAATGGCAGCAAGCGACCTCTGGCGCATCCATTTCCCCCGGCCTTGAAAGGTTCCACTTTCAACACGAGTGACAACAGCGAAAGATTGCGGTAGAGAATAAACCCCAAGCGGTAAAGGAAGTATAATGCGGGAGTTATCTCTATGTGGATAAATGTCCTGTCGACTATAATAAGTAAAGTAATATTATAACACATTTTAGGGCGTTACTCACCGGCTACGGTTATCGGAGAGTCAAGGGACTCGAGGATCAAAATAAAAGTATCCCAGGGCGCCTGTTGTTGGATGATTAGTAAATGAAAATGCTAAGATACATATACAGACAAAAAGTAGTTTATTTCCTTCTACGGTGCACATGTATAGCTCCAAATATCAAGTTTTCACTTTAAAATACCCTACGAACTGAGGTTTTGACTAACCTGGTGAATTACACAATATTACACTGTTTATGGTCAATCCCGCGAAGCAGTGAGGCAACAGATATCCTCCAGGTGTACGCCGGTCGCGGTCTCCTGGCCGCCCAGTCCCAATATAACCACCCGTTGAAGCTGCCTCGCCTCGTTCACATTGTTAAACTTGATAATGGACCATACTCAAAGTACGGACTAAGGACTAAGGACCCAATTTATGGGATGATGTTTTTCAACACATTAAACTGCCCGTAGACATTGTGTTTAAGGGGCCGTACGCCCAAGTAGTCGTCACTTTAAATTCATGTTTCGGCGTTTCGATTCAAAAATTATATATGTGCGTGTCCGATCATTACAACGGCTCGCTCCAAAAAGAACTAGGCCTCCCTTGGGCTACACGCCACCGTCGATCCGTGGTAGGATTTCGAACTAACACGAAAGGTCAATTGCATGCAATTAGCTAGCTCGATTCGTCAATATACGTTTCTAGTTACTTCGGACTAATGACGTTAGATGGCGCTCTGAAGTCTGTTCATCGCATGTAATAACGTAAATATGCTAAAATAATGTACACGAAAATTTTCGTGTTACACATCCCCTTTGCTTGGGTTAAAAAGTTCTTCGTAATGAAGATACTTTTTCCGAAGACATTTCGTGCCACCTGCAGAACAACGACTGAATGCCAAAGACAGTGAAGAAGTTGTAATGCGTCTCTAATCCAATCTGGCTAAAAACATTCGCACGGATAGTAAATTCCAAGTCACCCATGCACCAACAACTAACAAGTACCAAGCCATCACTTAATCACTTAATTACGACGTTTAATCTTACACAAGGCTCATTATTACTCTACTTATTACCTAATTTTCATTTCTGTATCTGTATACCTAGTAACATTATATTCCACTAAACAATTTAACCTCAAAATGTAATTACCTACTTGTGTTGTTAACACAAAAAAAACACTACCACAAATTTACCTACTTGTGTTGTAAGTTAGAAAATACTACACTAATTGTTATACCTATATTAACCTAATGGCATGCAACTTTATTTACATTTATTCCTACATGTTTTTTACAATAATGAAATACAACTGCCTATGAATAATTACGTTCCAGAATCCTACGCGCGAATAGTCTATTACCATTCATGCGGTGCGTGACGTAACATCACGGGACAGAAATGAATACCTACAGTGCACTAAGCCTACACACGATGTTTACGTTTCGACTCGACTTTTCTCTAAGTAGTCGAAAAACGAACGTGTTCTTATTTATTAAGTTGAGTAGTTAAGTGATTTGGAAATCATATTAAGTATTAAGTTAAGTTAAATATCTATCTCGCATTAAGTTAAGTGAATTAACGTTTAATCATATTAAGTTAAAAGAAACAGCTTAAGTAATGCTACGCACTGGCTGGTATGCATTTTCTTATATAATGTCCAGAGTGCGGACATAAAGAACAAATTCTTATCTAACTCGCGCCGATGTTCACAACATAAGATGACCTACTAGTTATGTATCGCTCGTTCATCAATACAATCACAGCTTATTTATCTCAGAAAGTTCACCGGTGGAAATGAATTTTGAAAATGTTTATTATTCTTACATTCTTTCACTCAATCATACTCATCACTCACATTCTACAAAACTATTAGTCATCTTGTTTAAGGATGTCTTTTATGTGAAAATTACCTAGTATCTTACCTTCCATGCTGGCTAAGGTATACACTAAAGGTGATAATTTCGCTGTTATGACACATTTTTGAAATTTTGGTGCTAGTTTAGCCGTAAATCTCTTTGAGGCATTAGATAGGTAATGGGTACGTTTATATACAATCTGACCTACTTTTAACTCAACATGTCGTTTTCTTAAGTTATAGTACTTTTCATTTCTAGAGCATTTTTAATATGCTTTTGTACCTTTTTAAATATGGTGTCTAATTCCGCTAATTTTTTACTGTATGCTTGTGGTTCACCGAGAGTTACTTGTGATCTTTGAACTGGCTGAGGGCTATCTAAGCTGTGTAACATTCCATCTATTATGAATTCCCGTCCGTGCACAAGAAAATACGGAGTAAACTTAGTGGTATCATTCACGGCTGAATTAAGTGCGCATTGCAACTGTGGGATGTTCTCGTCCCATCGTTTATGCTCGGTACCTACATAACATGATATACCGTTAACTACGTTCCTAATCGCTCTTTCGGCTTGATTTACCTGTGGGTGATAACGCGGGTTATAATAGATATTCGGTACGTTATATTTATGTAACAGTTGCCTAAACTGATTAGACACATACTGTGGGCCATTGTCAATATAGATAGTCTTACATACGCCATGTACTAGGAACACTTTCTCTTCTATGAACTTAGCGACCGCAGCGCCTGTTGCGATCCGTATAGGATGCAACATGACATACTTGCTAAAATAGTCTGTACATACAATTAAGTGAATATTCCTATTGCGAGAAACCGGAAATGGGCCTAGCAAATCGCAACATATGGCCTCCCAGGGTTTGTTAACCTCCTTCGGGTTTCCCATTAAACCAAGTCTAGCCGTGTTGACGGGTTTGTATTGTTTACATATCTCGCATTTTTTAACATATTCTTTCACATCTCGGTACATGCTGGGCCAGTAATAATTAAGACTAAGACGCTTGTGGGTTTTAAAGACACCCAAATGAGCACTAACTGGTTCATCATGACATTTCTTTAAAATATCTAACCTGTCTTCCTCGGGTACCACTAACTTCCAATTAAACTCATTCGTTAACTCATATTTATTTTTAGAGTACCTAAGCAATCTATCGTCTTTTACCATGAAGTGGGGATATTTGCGAGGGTTGGCCTGACAATCTTCGTATACATGTCTATACCACGCATCACTGGTTGCTGGCGTAGCGATTGCATCAACTTGAATCCTACTTAGTGCGTCTGGAATAACATTTAATTTACCTTTTCTGTGTTCTATTTCGAAATCAAATTGACTCAATCGCATGCTCCACCTGGCTAAGCG